AAAAAAACGAACAATTTTTTTAAATACCATTTTAAATGCTATAGGGCTTATAAGGAATTTAGAGAGATTTGAAATTTCAGAGCTTTTACTGCTGAACCAAAATTTGTTTCTGTCAAAAATGTATTTAGGTCATTCGAAAGTTAATAAAAAACAAACAATTTTTTTAAATGCTATATGGGTAATAAGGGATTTAGAGAGCTAGAGAGATAACAAAAAACATACATTTTTTTTAAATACCATTTTAAATGCTATATGGATTAAAAGGGATTTTGAGATCTATGAAATTTTAGAGTTTTTACTGCTGAACCAAAATGTAGTTTTTTGATAATTCATTTAGGTCATTCGAAAGATAATAAAAAAACAAAGAATTTTTTTAAATACCATTTTAAATGCTATATGGGTTATAAGGAATTTAAAAATCTTTGAAATTTCAGTTTTTATTGCTGAAAATGTAATTTTTTCAAAAATTCATTTAGGCTATTCGAAAGATAATAAAAAAAAAAAACTTTTTCAAATACCATTTTAAACAAATTTTGGTTTGGAAATAATAAATTTCAAAGCTCTCTAAATCCCTTATAACCCATATAGCATTTAAAATGTTATTTTAAAAAATTGTTTGTTCTTTATTGTCTTCCGAAGGCCCTTAATGAATTTTTGAAAAAAATACATTTTGGTTCAGCAATAAAAACTCTGAAATTTCAAAGCTCTCAAAATTCCTTATTACCCATATAGCATTTAAAATGGTAGTTAAAAAAATCGTTTGTTTTTTTATTATCTTTAAAATGACCTACACAAAATTTTAAAAAAACAAATTTTGGTTTAGCAATAAAAATTCTGAAATTTCAAAGCTCTCTAAATCCCTTATAATCCATATAGCATTTAAAATGGTTTGGAAAAAACTGTTTATTTTTTTATTATCTTTCGAATGGCTTAAATTAATGTTCGAAAAAATTACATTTTGGTTCAGCAATAAAGACTGACATTTCAAAGCTGTTTGTTTTTAATTATCTTTCGAATGGCCTAAATTAATTTAAAAAAAAAAAAATACATTTTGTTTCAGCAATAAAAACTCTGAAATTTCAAAGATCTCTAAATCCCTTAATACCCATATAGCATTAAAAATGTTATTTGAAAAAATTGATTGTTTATTATCTTTCGAATGGCCTAAATGAATTTTCAAAAAAATACATTTTGGTTCAGCAATAAAAACTCTGAAATTTTAGAGATCTTTAAATCCCTTATAACCCATATAGCATTTAAAATGGTATTTGAAGAAATTATTTGTTTTTTTATTATCTTTCGAAAGGCCTAAATTTTGGTTCAGCAATAAAAAATTTCATAGCTCTCTAACTCCCTTATTACCCACATAGCATTTATGGTATTTTAAAAAGTTGTTTGTTTTTTTATTATCTCTCCAATGGCCTAAATAAATTTTTGAAAAACACAAATTTCGTGCTGGTAATAAAAGCTTTAGCCGCCTCAATAATGACAGTCACTAGAATATAGCATATGCAGATAACCTGGTCACTCTGCAAACAGGAAATTTTGAGAACATACTCTGCGAAAGAATGCAAGTGGCTCTAAAAATTATAGAACAGTATTGCAAGGACCAGAGGACAGAAATGGATGAAAATAGATTTAAAACATCCAGAACTCCTAAACACAAAACTGAACTTTACAACAAGAGGTGAAGTATCTAGGTCTCACCTTTGACAGCAAGTAAACATGGAACTCGCACTTGGAAAACAGAATTAAAAGATCATACATTGCTTATTATCAATGCTGCCGAATCATGGGGCGCACCTGGGGTTTCTCTCCCAAAGTCGTTGCATGGACTTACACGGCTATCATAAGACCTATACTAGCATACAGTGCAGTTGTCTGGGTACCGAAAACCCAAAAATTAACAGCTATCCGTAAACTAGAATAAATTCAAAAACAGCATGTTTCAACTTAACAGGAGCCATGAAAAAAACACCGACCAGAGACATGGAAGTCATTCTTAGTCTCACTCCCCTTGATATTTGCATCAAAGAGGTTGCTCTGACGACAATGACATGCCTACGCACGGTTGGAATAGAACCTGATGTAGGATTTGGTGAGTTGAGACGTCACTTTTGGCAGGAGGCACTCGATACGCTCCCTCTACTTTAAGCGAACATGGACTCCATATGACCGAAATGTACCTTTTATAAGAAATATAAAGTTGTAATAAAACAAATAGTAGAGCCAGAAGTGGCAGGTACGATTCATATCTACACCGATGGTTCTAAAACAAAACAAGGCACATGATGTGGAATATACTCCAGATTCTTAAACCTAAACATAAAATGGGCTGTGAGCAATAGTGCCAGTGTAGTTCAAACAAAGCTAGCGGGGATTCTCATAGCAGCAAAAGTAATATCCAGAAACAATATCACTGGAAGAAACATGCTCATCTATACAGATAGGAGACAAGCACTACTCACCTTAAACAGACCACGAATTTACTCAGGGTTAGTACTAGAATGTCATGAAGCTTTGACCGACGTATCCATCAATAATGTGGTCACATTAAGATGGATTAAAGATCACGCCACATCGAAAGGTAACCGTCTTGCTGATTCACTAGCCAAAAAAGAAGCCAGCCAAATACTTTTTAGACCTGGCCCTTCTATTGGCCTGACAAAATCGGTAGTGACAAACCTAATTAAAGAACATCCCCTTGTGAAATTCAAGGAAAGATGGGATAAAACAAGAAACTACAGAGTTTCCAGGGAGCTCTTAAGTTATCCTGACAACACTGCAGAAAACAAATACTTGACTATGACTAGACAGAAGCTGCCCATAGTCACAGGCATTCTGTCAGAATCCACACTCTGCAGAGGGTGCGAACAAGAATATGAGACCATCGAGCATATCCTTTACGATTGCTCGACGCTCTCATTTATTAGAAGATTTGTGTTAGGCGAGTATCGGCTAACACCGGCTGATATAAGAGAAGAACCTTTTGGCGACATTGTTAACTACATTAAATCTATAGGCTGGCTCACGAGCTAGGAGGTGCCTATCATCTTAGGAGGATGCTCATTGGGCCAAATTAGGCCTAAGTACCGTGGTGGTAACCCACCCTCTACACGTTACAGATACAGAACTCTCTCGATTTGAAAAACTGAGGAGAGGAAATATGTCACCATTCATCCCTAGAATTCTAAAAATAAAGCTGACACCTTAGAAACTCAGTTGTGTGCAGTTTCCAATTTCAACACTTGTTCTCTTGCATCTTGATAATGTTTAATTAGATTATTGTTAAATTTGATGCAGTTAACATTGCAATAATATATTCTTTAATTTAAGAAGAAAAATATTTTTTTAAAAAGGACTTTCGGCGATGTGGAGAGTTATTAAGTGTTATATTTTCTGGCAAGATTTGAAGGCATAAGGAATGATAGAACTCCAAAGTGTGTGCACAAAACGATGGACACTAGAGAAAGAGGTGATATAGATCCGCTATTGCATTATTATTGCACTCACTTTCAGATTTTTAATTTGTGTTAGAATTTATATTATTGTTTTATATTTCTTTTTTATCTTTTTGTTTATGGAGAATATACGTTTATTTAATGTTTGATTAAATATTTGTATTTAATATTCCTTATCATACATTCAACGGCTTTTAATGTATTTTTACGTTAATCATCCGTAAATGAAATTTTCAAATATTACTACAATTTCCTCGGTGATTATCTTTAATAACTGGCCAGTCACGTTAATACACAATGGTTAATAACCGTCATTAATCGAAAATTCGCGGTATGAACCAAACCAATTTTTTACATTTACTGTAACATACCTGCCATTAAGAATGGGACACAGAACATCTAAAGATTTTCTGAATAAAAATAAGACGAATAAGCTAAACATGCTTAGATAAAATATTGCTGATCAAATACAGGGTGTTAAAATTCAAAATTCAAAAATTATTATTGGCTTTATTGTTTTTATGTCTCAGTATAATTTTACCAAATTCGGTAAATATTTTTAGTGTCATAAAATACACCCATCAAAAAAAAACAATTAAATTAACTTTGGAGTAGCGAACGGCATGGATAAGTGGATAAGTAACACCTTCCTCCCTTTAAATTTTATACCACTGTCAAAAAAATTTTTTGGACTATACTTATAAATTTTTTATAAGTCTACTCTTTTTTAGGAACTCATAAAGTGATGAGTTTTCGAGATATTCACAATTAAAGGTGAATATTCTTTATTTAAATTTTAGATATTTTGGATTTTTTTATTAATTTATACTAAGCGAAAGTTTTTGGAGTAATAAGGTTCACCTATCAGCAACTATGGTAAATACACTTTGCCATAAGCGTACTGCATACATAAGTAACACCTTCATCACTTCTTAATTTTACTCCAAAAACTTATTTGGACCATAATTTTGATTTCTTTTGTTTTTTTTTTTAATAAATCATTATAGTCTTGTTGAGAATTTATAAAAAAAATTCAAAATTATAAAATTAAAACAGTTGAGTGTGAATATCTCAAACATTAATACTTAATAAGTTTCAAACAAGAGTAGATGATTTATTTAAAAACATCAAAAAGTGTAAAATTATAGTCCAAATAAGTTTTTAAAGAGTGGCGTAAATTTAGAGGGGACGAAGGTGTTACGTATCTGTGCCGTACGCCACTGGTAAACTTTATTTAACTAATTGTTTTGTTGATTGGTGTATCTTATGACACCAAAAATATTTACTGAAATTAGTAAAATTATATAAAAAAATTTAAAAATTATAGCCAATAACAATTTTTGAATTTTCGGAAACCAGAAATATATTATCTGAGTGTGTTTCGTTTAATCGTTCTATTTTTAATCAAAGAATATTTAGTTGTTCCGTGTCCCATCCTTAATATATAAAAAAAAGTAGATGCTCAATTATTTTTAAACCAAACCTACTATTGAAATAAAGGTAAAAGTTAAATTTATTTTGTCAAAATTAAACACTTACTACAAGATTTCTGTTCTTTTTTGATTTGTTTTGCCAATCTGCATTTTACCAGGAATCCTCGTAGGATGCTTTGTATCTTGATAATTTTCTTAACTTGAGTTTCGTACAATCGAGATAAGTATTCTTCATTGTAATACTTCAAAAAGATTTTGGATTTTCCTAAAGCCCAACCCTCCATTTTCAAACGTACCATTAATAGCCTGCAATTGTCTTTAGTAATGTCAACATTTTCGTCGAAATCGAATGCAAGGAATTTATATCTATAAATAGAATTAAAAAAATAATTACGTTATGAGACATGTTTCTCAATTTTTAAAATTAGTGTTCATATTGGCCAAATGAAAACGTACCAGAGCCATTAACAAAAACTTACCTTCTTAAAAATTCTGGAAATGATATTCTTTGAGAGTATCCTTTTTGTCTGATTTTAGCCGTTTCAGCTACACCCATAGCTCTTATTTGATGTTTAACTAGTTCTCTTTTGAAATTCTGTGGTATCCCTTTAAGATCTGTTCTAATACACCTTACAAAATGTGTACCACCTGAACCTGAACCAATGGAGAGTTCTCTTAGAAGTTCTATACATAACGATCTGAAGACTGCTGACTGAGTGCGCATCTTTTTAATTTGGGAATATTGCCGTTCTGTAGACACCTTTAAAATTAATGTTTTTGTTAAAATTATTTACTAATAATTTATTTGCACAAAAAAATTTATTGAAAACTATCCATCCTAAATAATTTTAAGGAAAGGCGTTTATGAAAAAATACGAAAATAAATTTAAAATTATATAAAAGGACACATCTTTTTGTTCAGGTATACTCGTTTTCAATAATGTTTTATTGGGTGTTCCCAGTACATTAATAAAAAATTTCTATTCTTCTTTATTATTCGATACCAATAATGTGTATGTGAGGTGTAAAGTGAATACTTTAGAAGTTGCAGATATTTTTAATTTAATAACAGAAACTATTTAATTCTCAACAAATTAATGCAATTGTTGTCATATAAATAACATATTATTTGATTTCCATACAATGATACAATCCAGTTTAAAATTACAATTCAAACTACATTACGTAACATTTCTTAACTGTCTCGAACAATGGGCGTGTTTAATGAAAATCAAAAATAGTTTTTAGTGTTCCCTACCCGAAGGGTAACCATCGGCTGTTCATCCGACTGTCTGTCAGTGGGCTTTATCTTATGATCTGTAATAGGTACAGTTGAAATTTTTAAAGGATGTGTATTTCTATTGCCGCTATTACTACAAATAATTAAAATAAAAGTACATTAAAAATTAAAGCGGATCTGGTACTAGAAACGTGTTGTTTGGATTTTTTTGCTCGATCCTAATGAAGTATTTAAAAAGTAGCTAAATTGTATTAAATCTTGTACGATGGTGCGGAACCCCTTATGCGCGAGTCCGACTCGCACTTGTCCTGTTTTTATTTCTAATAGCACAAAATCGTATCTAAAAATACATTAACTATACAAGGTGTACCAATAAAAACGCCCAGGCCAGATATTTTGGTAAGTAATGGAGATATTCTAATTCTGTGAAAGCCAGTTCACAGAGTACTAAGAGAGCTTCAGTTTTAGATATAAATTGATTTTAAATAGGTCAATATGAAGATAGCGCTGTGCTTGATCATTTTTTTTTTCAATGGGAGGATCTTTCTGTATAGCGCATCTTGAAAAAAATGCATTTTTAAGCAGATTTTGTTTTATGAACTAATTCGATAAATCTAGCCACTTTTGATATACAGAGTGGGTCACTCAAAACAGTTTCGTACTGTTTTTCAGCATTAATCATTGGATTTTAAGAAAATGTTAAAACAGGTTGATTTTTATTCCAAATTAAAAACATTTTTTTACAATACAGACATCTGTCATGTGTCAACCCCCTCCCTTGCACTTCTCCAACACCTTAATTTTAAATAGGTAATGTACCATGTATGGCACATCAGTAAAAAGGTAATTTAATAGGGAATTCAGAAATATTTATGTACATTGCGTTAAATTTTATCGCTCTCTAGCGGGATAAAAAAATACGTGTGAAACTACAATGTGTAGTACATCATTAAAAAGGTAATTTTATGAGGAATTTAGAAATATGACTCTTCATTGCCATACTTTTAATTGTACCGCCCTCTAATAGGATAAAAAACCACGTATTATAAAGTGTGACACCTTATTTGAAGGTAAATTTTAATTACTAATTCAATGCTCCACAACATTAATATAAATATTCTTCATATTGCACTTGCAATAGTTTGAAAATAAATATGCATAATTTAAAACATTATTGCTAACTTTAATTTGTTGCAAGTGCAATATGGAAATATTTATATTAATTTTATGTGGTGCATTAAATTAGTAATTAAATTATCTTTTAAATGAAGTATCACACTTTATAATAAGTTACAGGTTTTTTTATCCCGATAGAGGGCGCTAAAATTAAAAGTATCGCAATAAACAGTCAAATGGCTAGATTTATCGAATTAGTATATAAAACAAAATCTGCTTAAAAATGCATTTTTTACCAGATGCGCTATATAAGAAAGATCCTCTCATCAAAAAAAAAAAATATATCTACATATTGACCCATTTAAAATTAATTTATATCTAAAACTGAAGCTCTCTTAGCGCTCTACGAACTGGCTTTTACAGAATTAAAATAAAATATTTTATAAATATCACAGATACTTTAACCAATTTGGTTGTTATTTGAGGTAAGCTCAAATAAGAGAGGAAATAAAATTAATTTTAATAGTCCAAACTCAATTATACCAAAACAACTTGGAGCTTGACAATTATTGGCTTAATATTGACTAAAAAATTAGCAAAAATTATCAGATGCATCCCTTCTTTTTGCCAGGATTCATCATGCAGTTTCAGTAAAAAGAAAATAGGACGTAAATCTCTTTATTAACCAGGACATCAGAGTTGCCGCCCGACAAAGTACTATAGATATCTTTTTTTTTCGGCTTAGCTTTTTATAGAAAACTAGCTATTGCCCGCGGCTTTGCTCGCGACTTTGCTCGTATATATAGTTGTGTTATTAATATTAAAAAATACATGACTTCCTTTTATATTAATTTTTATTAGTTTTATTGATTTTTATTCATTTTTTTCATGTTTTTTTTTTATTTTCATTTATTTGTATTTATTTTTATTCATGTTTATTAATTTTTATCAATTTTTATTAATTTTTATTAATTTTTAATCATTTTTATTAATTTTTATTAATTTTTATTAATTTTTATTAATTTTTATTAATTTTTATTAATTTTTATTAATTTTTAATAATTTTTATTAATTTTTATTAATTTTTATTAATTTTTATTAATTTTTATTAATTTTTATTAATTTTTATTAATTTTTATTAATTTTTATTAATTTTTATTAATTTTTATTAATTTTTATTAATTTTTATTAATTTTTATTAATTTTTATTAATTTTTATTATTTTTATTAATTTTTATTAATTTTTATTAATTTTTATTAATTTTTATTAATTTTTATTAATTTTTATTAATTTTTATTAATTTTTATTAATTTTTATTAATTTTTATTAATTTTTATTAATTTTTATTAATTTTTATTAATTTTTATTAATTTTTATTAATTTTTATTAATTTTTATTAATTTTTATTAATTTTTATTAATTTTTATTAATTTTTATTAATTTTTATTAATTTTTATTAATTTTTATTAATTTTTATTAATTTTTATTAATTTTTATTAATTTTTATTAATTTTTATTAATTTTTATTAATTTTTATTAATTTTTATTAATTTTTATTAATTTTTATTAATTTTTATTAATTTTTATTAATTTTTATTAATTTTTAATAATTTTTAATAATTTTTATTAATTTTTATTAATATTTATTAATTTTTATTAATTTTTATTAATTTTTATTAATTTTTATTAATTTTTATTAATTTTTATTAATTTTTATTAATTTTTATTAATTTTTATTAATTTTTATTAATTTTTAATAATTTTTATTAATTTTTATTAATTTTTATTAATTTTTATTAATTTTTATTAATTTTTATTAATTTTTATTAATTTTTATTAATTTTTATTAATTTTTATTGATTTTTATTAATTTGATTAATTTTTATTAATTTTTATTAATTTTTATTAATTTTTATTATTTTTTAATAATTTTTATTAAATTTTATTAATTTTTAATAATTTTTACTAATTTTTATTAATTTTTATTAATTTTTATTAATTTTTATTAATTTTTATTAATTTTTATTAATTTTTATTAATTTTTATTAATTTTTATTAATTTTTATTAATTTTTATTAATTTTTATTAATTTTTATTAATTTTTATTAATTTTTATTAATTTTTATTAATTTTTATTAATTTTTATTAATTTTTATTAATTTTTATTAATTTTTATTAATTTTTATTAATTTTTATTAATTTTTATTAATTTTTATTAATTTTTATTAATTTTTATTAATTTTTATTAATTTTTATTAATTTTTATTAATTTTTATTTATTTTTATTAATTATTATTAATTTTTAATAATTTTTATATATTTTTATTAATTTTTTATTAATTTTTAATCCCGTTTTCCCTCCTTAAAATGTGAAAATCCAATAACCCTAAAACACGTCATTATTAATTTGTACTCATTAGCTGCAATTCCAATTTTCATGTTTTTAACTTTAAAAAGAACCAAACATTGATACTCCCAAATAAATTTTCACCCCCTTCATCTTCTCCCTTAAAATGTGAAACTCGAAAAACCCTGCAACACGTCATTAATAATTTGTAGTCAGTAGCTGCAATTCCAATTTTCATGTTTCTAACTTCATAGAGAACAAAACAAATAAATAGTCCATTACAAACTTTACCCCCATTTTCCCCCCTCAAAATGTAAAAAATCCAAAAACCCTGAAATACGTCATTATTTATTTATGCTCAGTAGCTGTAATTTAAATTTTCATATTTCTAACTTTAAAGAACAAAGAGTTTCATTAAAAGCTCCCTGCCCCCATTTCCTTCCATTTCCCCCTTTAAAGCGTTAAAATTTCCAAAAATCCTTTCTTAAAAGATGCTTACGTTATAAAATAAACCTATGTTCCCAATTTCAGCTTTCTAGGCTCAGTAGTTTTGGCTGTACGCTGATAGGTCAGTCAGTCAGTCAAGACAAACAATTTTATATATAGATGTTAATTCTTGATAAAGCTATGAATAAAGCTAGCAAAATATTAAAAACAAACCTTTTAAAATCACATACAGTCAATTAATCCCAGGAACGTCAAATAGTCATAATTTAAACTAAAAGAATAGATGGAAGTGAAAGTAAGAAAAAAGAGCCAGGGAAACAGCAGAGACCAGAAGAGGATGCCAGAAAGAAACCACTCCCGATATCATCACGTCAGTTCAATACACCATATTACGAGAAGTGGTACCACACAAAACACTTGCTGATATAAACATTTTTAAATAAGAATGACTTAAAATGGTTCATATACAAACTCTAATATGGATTAAAAGAATAAAAATGCCTTTTCTGACCTGACATAGGCAAAAGTACCTCTTTTAAAAAAGATATCAATTTCTGATATTAAATTTTACGAAAAAGAAATTTTGAACATCCTTGAAAAGTGAGCAAT